AAGTCTGAACCCTAATCTTGAGGGTTCTTCCTTCTGACTTTCTGGCCACAACCTTCGAAAACAAGTCTGAACCCTAATCTTGCGGGTTCTTTTTGCTGATTGTTGGTCATCCTCTAATGCTTCACCAACAATCTCCAAGACTCAGCCGATGATCCTTTTTGCTGGAAATTTTCCAATCCTAGGAAATTCTTATGCAGCCGGCCATGTCAGACTATCATAAGATTTCCTAGGTTGGCTCTGATACCAATGTAGTCGTATGAGACTACTAACAGCCCAAACTGTGGTGTATAATCAACAGGAAATTAAGAGGATGAGAGGAGAGAATGAGAGGAGAAAGAGAAAAGAAGAGAAGAAGATTTCGAAGGAAGGATTTCATAAAAGAAGAGGATGCTTAATCTGCCGCCCCCCTCTTTCTATTTATATTAATTCTGAAGTAAGGATAAGACTGCTTACATGGCAAAATTAAAATCCTAATAAAAGACAACAATTAAAGTCCTAATAAAAGACTAACAACTAATTGTGGACTGACACTTAAATAACTAGTAGTTGTATACGAGTACAATAGAAAGAGGTGGGGACCACATCAGTGGTTTCTACATGTACCAAGAAATCAACCTGTAAAAGGTTCGTGTGATTGGTGTGAAGGGTTTAGAACCTGTTTTTTTCACCTTTTTTGTGGATCGTGTGATCCTTTGTGGTGTATTTGTAGGTCAAGAGCTGATCTGTGCTTGCTGTAAGCCTGTAACAGCAGTTAAGTGGAAGTATTTTTTGTCCCAGTTGGTGATTGTTCCACTATTATCTGATGCTGTATGTGTTTTTCAGCAATCGTACTGTGTGTGAACTGGATAAAATCATCAGAAATTATTCCCCCTATAGTGCTGGACTGTGTGTGGACTGAGAACAAAGTAGTAGTAGTAGTAGTAGTAGTAGTAGTAGTAGTAGTAGTAATATTACTATTATTATTATTATTATTATTATTCCTTCCTGGTTTCGGTCTACAGTGCTTTTTTGTCCTCCTATGATAAATCAACTGTGACCTAAAGTGACCTTTATGGCTTCTTAGGATTCAGATGCCTCTGGTGTATCCTCTATTTATAGTAGGGGGATTGATTTGAACTTCCTGATGGCTATTGTTCCCCTAGATGGGCTTAACCATTTCAATTGGTTGAAGGGGATCAAGCTGTATATCACTGCAAGGGGAAAGATTAAAGAACCTAGATCTGGAAGTGTAGAGCATGACAAATGGAACTAGGAAAACAGCATGGTGGTGTCGTGGCTGTTAGTGTCTATGCAGCCTGAAGTGAGAAGGAACTTCATGTGGGCTGAGACAACCTATGAAATCCGGGAGAAAGCTAAGTCTACTTATTCTGACAACGACACTATACTAAGTTTTATCGAAATGGGATTCAGTCACTGCAAGGCCCGTTCAAACAACCATCATAGCCTTGCATTGGGAATATCTCCCCATGAAATAAAGCATAGAAGTACGGAGATGTTCCCGATGCAAGGCTGTAAAGGCTGTTCGAACAGTGTTCAAACGGGTCTTGCAGTGACTGAAGCCGATCTCAGTTTTATCAGCTACAAGCAGAATTATCTACTTGTAAACAGGGGGAGAGAAGTAGCTGGACCATTATCAGAATGTGAACTGGAAGTGTGATGAGGATGTCAAAGCTTACGAGACTCTTGTTTCACAGCAACTGGTGTTTGAGGAGAGTATAAGTGTACGCCCTAGTGCAATCTGAGGACAGGAGAAGTTTGATGAATAGTTCTGAGGGAGAATCAATGGCTTTGGTGGCGAAAGGAGGTGTAGGTACAGGTGGTGGAAATTCTTTTAAGGAGTTTCAGAAGAAGGCAAATGACAAAGATAAGTTATGGTGCAGTCATTGTCAGAGGTCCAAGCATACTCGTGACACTTGTTGGGATCTTCATGGGAAGACGAAATGGGCTCTAGAATTGAACAAGAAATCAGGTTCAGATCAGAGTAGGAAACCAGGGCAGCAGGGTCCAAGAAAATCTAGTGCAGCAAATATGGCTTCTCAGGAAACTTAGTTACCTACTACTACTGTGAGTCAGGAACATTCTTGTGGTTTTGATCCTAGGGAATATATTATTTTTGTTTTTATTATTTTAATAATAATTAATATCATTGTTTTTACTATTAATTTATTAATATTTTACTAATAGTTTGTTAATAACTTATTATTTAATTATTAATATATTATATTTTATTAATATTTATTATTTTGATAATATTTTATTAATATTAGGGTTTGGGGGGTTTGTCAAGAGTTCTTTAATTCTTGACAGACTTTGGAATGGGAGTCCCATTCCTAAAGCCAACGGGGGAGCCTTAAATGGCCATTCCCCCATATGGGTGAATCCTATTCTGCCAAGAATGGGAATCGGAATCCCATTCCAACCAAACAAACAGTTGGAATCGAATGGGCCATTCCAATTCCGATTCTAGGCACCTATTTCAGGGAACCAAATGGGCCCTTAGAAGTGCAAATCTAGCAGTTATAACTGTATATTTAGGTAAAATTTATGGTGCATGAGCTGCACCTTGAGGCAAGAAACATGAACCAGTGATAAAGTGACACATCACAATTGGATATTTAACGTTGTTAAAGTCTTTAATGTTAAGTATGTTGGACAGACAAATTCAATTGTTTCACGGATGAACCTGTTAGGGTTGGTGGCCGAATTACAAAAACAAATAAATTCAGCCTGAACTCGAGGACCGATTTCTCAGAATTTGAAAATCCAAATTTTCTGGTCGATCTAGCACTGTACTTGGCCAGATTTGAGAATCAAAATTAAATTGAGTATACCTGATATGGAGAGTCCACAATTTGCAGCTCCTAGAGTGATAGTTCATGCCCAAAACTCAGACATGGATCGGCCTCTCAACTGAAGATGGCACAACTGGAACTTCAGGTCGATCCTGCAACAATCTTCAGCTGATTTTGATCTCCAACAAGTTGGGGTTAATGCAGCTGTGTGAACCACTTCAAATCTAATGTTTTCTTCAAAAACACAGCAACAATTGATGGAAGAACAGTCTCTTCCTTGGTTGGTTTGAACTAGGGTTTATGGGTGCAAGAGAGGAGAGAGTGCAAGAGAGTGTCTAGGATAGTGTAGGCCGACCTCTCCCTCTTGCCGCTATATATAGAGAACTTTCCTAATGTAATTAAGACTAATCCAAATCAGATTTGGGTTAAGTCTCTAATTACACTAAGAATATGGAGGTCCAAACCCATGTTCGATATAAGTTGTCATGTGACTAGTTTATAAAGGGCAGCCCAAATCCAAATCTGATTGGTTGAAATCTTGATTTAATGTATGCATTGTAGTCGAACTTATATAAAGGGCATCCCAGTTTACAAGACTCCTGCTAATGCATGGTCTGGGGAGGGATAGATGTATGCAGCCTTACCTCTGCACATACAGAGGCTGTTTCCAAGATTTGAACCCAGGTTGCAAAGGAGTAATTCAGCTATTGCGCCAGGGCCCACCCTTTGTAGTTGAATTTGTATATCTATTAGCAATTGTAATTGCCCTATTCTTGTTGTTTTTCTTGCACCTCCAGTCAGTATCTGCATTTGATAGTAGATCTATTAATATTTTTTCATTATACTGTTTCGTTTAATAGTTTGGTTCCTGTTTTCATCAAATTAAAGTTCTTCCTTTGCTTGTACCAGTCTTAACTTCCTAAGGTAATGCTTATCTACATTTATGGAGCTCTTAAAGTTTCTTTCTGTGCATTTTTCAGGACTCTCTGCTTGCCCTTAATAAGCTAAGGGAAGAAGTTGATGTAGAGAAGAGCAGAGCAAAATGGGATGACCCTAATCATGACAAGGATTTGGAAATCTGCATTAGGGCAAGAAATAATGCTTGGGTTATTGCAAGGCTTACAAAAGGCAAAGAGCTTTACATGGTTTTAGAAAAAGCAAATGAAACACTTCTTTATGCTTCAGATGCTGTTGAAAAGTTCAGCAACAGGTATGCATGTATATTCTGTTGTTTTTTTTTTTTTTAGGGGGGGGGGGGGGTAGGCTGTTTGACTTTCTTGTGGTTGTTTAAATAATTGAACCAATGAAAATGGCACAAACACCATTGCCTTTTTAGAGATTTAGAGAAACATTCTTAACATCAACCAACTGCAACCTGAACATTATGTGATAGATCTTATGTGTTATTTATCTTTGACATCTTGGTGTCTGTGTGCTGTAATCATAGTTTTCAAGGTGCCAAGGCGAGGCTAGGTGACATAGGATCATCTTATTGCCTAGGGAATTTTTTTAATGAATATCGTGAATCCTAGGGTAATTCACTAGTAGTTGTCTATAATCTTCATAAAAAGTGTATAAACTTTATATAAAGCATAGAAAATCAACTCATTAATGAAGAAAAAGGTAGAATAAAAAGAAATTTCAGAAAATAGAGGGGCTGAGCCCCTATTTTTTTATATTAATGATATTATACTTTACCTTCTTCAAAATAATAAATGTGTTGATTTGATAAAATTTTGAGTTATTCCTTGCTTATAAGGTCTGGATTTTGAAGAAGTTAAAGTATAATGTTATTAATGTAAACAAAAGGCATGTGTGGAAAGGAGCTGTGCATAGGGATTTACACATAATGCCCATGCAGTCATAATACTCCCATACCCTGTTTTACGAAAAATATTATCATAAACAAAAAAGGAATTATAGTATCTGTCCTTAAACAGTCTGTTCACTGCCGGCCAAGAGAGCAGTTTTCCCAAAATTTTCTGAAATACTGTATCTGTAGAGCTATGCTTATTCTTAAAAATCCTTGCATTTCTCTCTATCCATATGCACCAAAAAATTGCTACAGGAGCAATGTTCCACACCAGTTTTTCCCTCTTGGTGAGACTTTGACTCTCCAACCCTTCACAAAAATCCACCACCAATTCTGGGTAGCAATTTTACATCTCAAATAAATTCCCAACCTTAGACCATACCTCATAAGAGAATCTGCAATGTAACAGAAGATGGTTGACTGATTCATTTTTCTCCTCACATAAGACACATGGTAGAACCCAGCAGCATACCCTTCCTCACCAAATTGTCCAAAATTCTGTTCAAATAGGCAGTCCACACAAAAAGTGTTATCTTTGTGGGCACATTCTTACACCAAACAATATTAACGAGGATGGATTGTTCCTCTGATCTAGAGATGTAGTTGTAAAAGACTTGACTGAGAATTCTCTGGATTTCTCCCCACTCTCGAGTTCTTCTATCCTCTCTCACGATATCCACTTGAGTGCTATACAATTTATGCAACAATTCCACCAGTGACTCCACTTCCCAGTCATTCAAGCCCATACCACACTTCTTCTGCATTTGCATATAGTCTGCCACATAAGCCTCTTCGTCTATTGCTAACTCAAATAAAGCAGGATAAAAATTCTTCAATGGTCTGTTTTCGCACCGGACATCCTTCCAAAATTTCACCTGGAGTCCATCCCCAAACTTGATCCTTATTCCCCCTTGAGAAGAGGTCATAAGTTTCCCCAATGCCTTTCCAAATAGAACACCCATAGGATTGATTTGGCTCCCCCAGTTCCCAACCAGAATTTTTGTAACTATATTTAGCCACTACCACATTGATTTTCTCCAAATCTCCAAAACCACTTTCCCAAGATAGCTATATTGGCATCTTTCACTCTCCACACATCCAAACCCCCTTGATGCTTAGGTTTGCAAATTTTATTCCAGCTAACCAGGTTAAATTTTTCCTTCTTACCCCTCCACCCTCTCCATAAAAACTCTCTCATCTTTTTCTCTATGATATTTTCCATTCCAACAGGAATTGGGTATTATGAAAGTAAATACATGGGAAGGGAAGATAGCACAGTTCTCAATAAAATAATTTTACCTCCATAAGACAAATACTTAGCTTTCCAAGAGGACAATCTCTTCTCAATTCTCTCATAGGTTCCCATATTATTTTAGAATTACATTTGGCTCCCAAAAGCATCCCCAAATACTTTAGGGTAGTTTTCTCATTCTACACCCCCATTCCTCTGTCCAACTTTCTAATTTCTGTACCTCCCCCCACATTAACCAGCTCATTTTTATGCATGTTTACATGTAAACCTGGTACAACATCAAACCACTGGAGAACTGCCATAACATAACCAAGTTGTTTCATGAGATGCATCATACAACATTAGTGTGTCCTCAGCAAACTGCATCTATGATGCCTCTACCCTTTCATCTCTTACTGTAAATCCTTCTACAAATCCCCTGAAGTAGCTCTTTTCATCTTTCTATTAAGAGCTCCTGTTACACATATAAATAGAAATTGGGGATAGTGGGTCCTCTTGCCTCAAGCCATTGAACTTTTAAACTACCTGCAAGACACTCCATACAATAAGACTGAGAATGATGGAGTGTTGGTGCACATCTTCATCCAGTTCCTCCATTGGAGCCAAAAAAACCAGCTCTACCACTTTTCAATCTTGAACCAATCGTCTCATTAGTGACCAACACTCCATCCATCATGAGCCTTCCCAGCTCCCCTCCACATTTTGATATTGGAACTTTGGGCATCTGAATTATGATTTTTGTATCTATGAACCATATTTTGATATGGATGACAATGACTTGAGCTGGCAATTATGTTATTTAATTTCAGACTTGATTTTCTAACTTGATTGATGCTATTTTGACTCATGGTAAAAGACATTTTTACCAATCTGTTTGGGAACCATATATGCAGGTACTGCAATGGAACCTTTTCTTTGGATTAGAGTGAACAGGTTTATGATGCTAACGCTACTAGAGAATAGAACATGAAATATGTGCTCAACATGTAGGTGAAAGTACTGCTTCTTAGCCCTTCTTACCCTGGTTTTCCTTTACTGTGGATTCCTGTCATGCCAGAAAGAAAAGGAAAAAAAGAGGCCGTTAGAGATATAATTGTTTTTATTCTTCTACATGCTAAGAGATGCAATGAAAGTACATTTGCTAAGCCATGTACAAATGATGATCTTGGAGTTGACACATTCATGGTTATGATTTCTGAGTTTTTCATTAATTCTTGTAAATCTTGTTTTGCATGAGGTCATTGCATTCAAAATTATAAGATTTTGAGGCTGACATTTTTGGAAGAACTTTAATTTCACTTTGCAGGTAGAAGAAATGTAAGTAAATATTTTATAATAGCACAATAATTTAAATTCCCCAATTCTTTTTAGCCTTCAGCCAGAATGAAATACTGAGATTTCACCCAATTAATAATAATGTTGTAAACAATAGGTGTTGTAGTCATCATCGACTCTCGTTGGTAGATGGTCGAGTCTCCGAAGGTCCCAAGGGGATGGCCATGGAGAGAGAAGAAGGGAAAGAATGATGGCTGCTGAGGATGGTGGGAGAAGAGTAAAGGAGAAAGAGATAGAGTGAGAGAGTCTCTCTGAGAAGCCCTAGGGTTAGGGTTACCTGGTCGTCTGATGTGGGGCAGAGTTTTTCCCCTTTTTATAGAGAGGACCCCTAGGGCTATAAGGAGAAGGGTCTAAAAGGAGACCTTTCCCATTAGGAAATGGGATCTTTTCTTTGCGTTGACTATTAAGAGAGCATCATTAGGGTTTCACCACATGTCTCATGAGGTATCTCAAGGATGAACTTTCCTTTCGCCCAAGGATTATCATCATCCATGTGTGCTACTTCCTTTTGTGATCCTTTTTAAATCGAGTGGCGCGTGTGACATTATTTATTTGCATCGCTCGCCTTTACTAGGCCCATGGGGCATCCCGTCATGCGCATAATTTAAAGAAGCACATGTTTCCAATATTTATTCTTGATCTACAGTAATTCCATACCTATTCGAAGTTCATCATGGGTCTACGCATGTCTAAAGCTCATCGCAAACGTGCGATGGGTTATGGCTTCATCGCAGGCATCCGTGTAGTGTTGGTTTGACACCCTATGTACTATGATAGTCTTAGTAACCACTATGTACCTACATTAGTCCTCCTACTTATTGGTAAGTAGGAACTTACTGATAATCATTTTTGTCATCACATTTACTTTAAGGTTTCATGATGGGGCGATGAGGAATAGGATTGTAGAGGTTGTGGTATCCTGATTTTTTCGCGTTAGGTCTGGTGATCGTTTTTGTCCTTAATGAGATGCTCTCGAACTTTGTGTATAAAAAATTTTATTTGGATATGTTGATAGCCCCTCTACTTGTTGACAAGTGAACTTGTCAATAAGCATTGTGGCATTCAACTTAGTAATGTCCTTGGATGGGAATTGAAAGTGTTTGTTTTGAGCTAACTTTCATTTATTCTGTGATTCAACCCCCTGTCTTTTGATAGGGTATTATTTATTGTGTTAATTCGTATTTGTTTCTGGGTCATTTGAGTCATGTACAAAGTGTTTGAAGATGTAAGTGATGGTAAAATCATCAAAACATTTTGCAAGTTATAGCTCAATACTTCCTGTACCTTAGCTCCATATTTCTTGATAGAGGTCATTGTATCAAGAAACAAGTGAAATGAATAATTGGTTGCTTTAGTGTTTAGCCCCCTGTATCTTCATAGAATGTCTTCTATCGAGAAATACTTAAGTGAGGTTTGCTGGGTGTGCTACCTTTGTCGTCCCCCTGTGTGAGTGGGGGGTGTTGTATGGGTGTTTTGCGGGTAGAGTACCCAGCCCCCTTTCGCTTTAATAGAAGGTATTTCTAGTAAAATATTGGGTATCTAAAATATGGCACTAAGGAAAGCCCCCCATTTATTGTGTAAGATTTTAGAACATGCTAACATTGATGCGATTTAAGCATTTGTTGTGATCACTTTGTTGTAGCATACTAATATTCTTGTGATGATATCGCGGATCATTTATTTGAACTACGTACAATGATATGGGGTGTGTTATCGCATATGAAGTCCTTTTGGATTGTTGCAGCTTGACTTAGTTATGTCATCGCAACTCAAAGTGCTAAGTGTTTATAGTGTTCCATCTCCCTTGGGTTTGCCAAGGGTTTTCTTTTTCCAAGGTCCGCTAGTGTGGTTGGGAATGTCGAATCTTTCTTGATCCAATCAGGACATGTCGTCGCACTTGATTATGCTAAGTACTAGGATTGATTGTCATGCATGTTGTCTTGTCTATTTACTGATGTCTTCCATCATCCTTGAGGTTTTTGAGGTCTTTGGTATTTTCCAAAAATGTTTCATCACAGTCGAGACAACTAAGTGTCATCGCATTTGAAAAAATTTAAATATCACTGCATATGAGAGGTAAATATCATCGTAAAAAATAAATCTAAATTTCATCGGACCTGGTGTTGCCAGGATAGTTCATTGTACTTCAAAAAGCTAAGTGTTGGCATATCTCATCGCATTTCAGGATACTATATATTTTGTTGGTTATTGCTCCTAGGGTTGCCAGGGTAACTCATTGCATTTCAGGATGTTATGTATTTTGTTTGTTATTGCTCTTGGGGTTGCCAAGGAATGTAAGGGCATGCTTGGGGTTGCCAGGGCCTTCGCATGAAACATGCAGTATCTTGGACTGGCCAGGGTATGTAAATGTACGCTTGGTTTTGTTAGGGCCTTCGCATGGAGCATGTAGCATTGTGGAACTGGCCACAGCATCTTGAAACCAACCATGTTAAGTATGTGTGTTCCTAGGTTTGCTAGGGCCTTCGCATAGAGTATGCGGCATCGTGGAACTAGCCATGGCATCCTGGAACTGGCCAGGGTAAGTATGTCTGCACCTGGGGTTGATAGGTCCTTTGCATGGAGCATTTGGCATCGTGGAACCGGCCAAGGTAAGTATGTGTGTGCCTGGGATTGCCAAGGCCTTCGCATGGAGCATGCAGCGTCGTGGAACTGACTAGGGTATGTATGTGTTCACCTAGGGTTGCTAGGGCTTTCGCATGGAGCATGCAGCATCGTGGAATTGGACACGGAATCTTGGAATCGGCCAGGGTAAGTATGTGTGCACCTGGGGTTGCCAGGGCCTTCACATGGAGCATGTGACATCGTGGAACCGGCCAGGGTATGTATGTGTGCATCTGGGGTTGCCAGGGCCTTCGCATGGAACATGTGGTATCGTGGAACTGGCCACGACATCCTGGAACTGGCCAGGGTAAGTATGTCATCTGGCTTGGGGTTGCTAAACCTTTCCCAGGGCTGCCGGGTAATATGTGATGTTGCAAGAAACGTGTTAGGGAACTGCAGGAAATGCGCTGAATGAATCAACACTTGTTTAAAATACATTTTAAAAATCATAAATCGATTCAGATCCATATCTATATCTTCACTACAGAGTAAAAGACTATATTTGAAAACATGTTCTTGATAAACAGTGATCGAACATAATTTTTAAACCAAATAATAATATATTTTAGGAAGAGGTATTGAAAGCATTTTTTTATATTAACTATTTGATTGGAAAAACCTTGCTGAAATAGGGGTTTTTTTTTTTGAAAAAGAAGAAAAAAAATTATTAAAGCACTAAACTCATGTGTTGGTCAGTTGAGAAAGAATTAAATGCTAGGACCAAGTTTGCCTCTACTTTCGGAGGGAACTGAAAAAAAAAATGGAGCTTAACTCGATTCAACCACTTCTTTTAAGCTTGAAATCAAATGCCTTCTACTTCAGTTCAACTTTATAAATTTGTAACCTGCGACAAACCTAGACCACTACAGCAAATATGAGTTCGATCTACTCGTTAGTCACACCAAAGTAAATGTAGCTAAATTTGTTGGTGAATGTATGTCTAACAAGCAAACTATCCAAGCTAACAAACTTTATTGGCATTGAAAACATAATCTATCCAAGCTATATACGCTTTTGGATAGAATTGAAACTAAGACTCCTGATTTTTCGTTTTGGTAAACAACTCAAAGCAATGTAGAAAAGGTCTATACAGGTTTGAACAATGTACCTTGAGGAAACCTAGTTTTCACATGACATAAACGGGTCTGATCTTGATTTACGGGTATTTATAAATCTGGGTCAAGATATCTATTCTACATTAAAGCACAGTTCTAAACTTTGGGCTTCTTTTCCGGGTCTTAAAGAGCGATTTTCAGTCCACAGACTTAAGAAAGGACAACACAATCCTAGGTTCTCATATTTGTTCTTCTTTTTAGACTAGGGACTACTAGGGAGCAGTCGGAGTTGATAAAATCTGATGGGCGTTACGAGTGCTATAAGGGAGTACTCTTATAATCCGGGCTCAGGCTGCTAATTGTCTTAGGAATGAATGTCTAATGGGAGCCATGAACGCTATAATATCCTTTAAGAGATAATAAACTAGAAGGTTGGAGAATAGACTTATGAAAGTGATTAATTTCAAACACTAGTTCTTGGTATGGAATATTGGTGTTATTAGCACCATGCAATATTGCAACCCCACCATCATGTATTAAGTAAGAGAAGTTTTGGGAGAAGATGACACGAAAGGGAAAATGGATATGTCACCATCATAAATATCTAGTATTTAAGGGAAGGTCGCTGGTGTCACCGAAAGAATAATGATAAAGGATGTATAAGAAAATGCTAAAAAAATAACTATGAGAAATATGAAGACAATTACAATGTCAAGCATGGTTTTTAAAAACGAACCGGTGAGGGGTCCGGTTATCGGTTCAAATGGTCTGACTGTTCAACTCGAACGACCGGTCCGTTCTGACAAAAAAATTAAAAAAATTGGAAAACGGTTAAAACTGTTCGAACGGTTCGAATGATTAACCGACTGGTTCAACGATTTTGCTGACTAAAATCAACGGTTTTGAAGGAAAACGGATATAGCTGGTCCCCGGTTTTTCCGCTCCGACCATCCGGTCCAGTCAGTTTTGAAAACAGTGATGTTAAGCATGCAAATCAATAAATAATACCATGAATCTACACTTTATTCTGCATAACAGAAACTGGTGAGCAAAAGTAGCAAAATAAATTGGTACGACTCTTGGAACTAATCCTAATATGCTAAAATATACAAATTAAAATGTTAGATTAAAGAAACCTGTGGCAAAGGACTCAAGAATTACCATTTTTCCTACATTTAAATGATTTATTGGTGGCATACAAAGTTAATACTATCGCATACAAAATAAGTCTGCTTCTGCTACTATACAATAGAACCTAATGGGCTACCGAGTACA